AACCAGTCGAGAATTAATGAAATTTTTAATTCAGTTAATAAGGATAAAATCCTGATTATTCTGATTAGCATCCATGATAGAAAGGATAGTTATTGCTGGTTGGGTGAGAAAAACTGCATTTTTTCAGTTAAGAGTTGTTATAGATTCCTTATGGGGGATTTATAGACGTGAGGGTGGAATAGATGGGGCAAGATGCGGGAACTGAGGGCTTTTCCAAAATTCAAGTATTTAGCATGGCAAATGTTAGATGGTATGTTGCCTTCGGTTGATAATCTTAGAAGAAAGGGGGTGAACATTAATGGGGGTTGCAAACTCTGTGGGCTGATGGAGGAAGATACGGACCATGCGATACGTGCTTGTCCAAAGGTAGAAGATGTATGGAAGCTAGCAGGGTCACAACCGAGGTACAACAGGTTCCGTTCGAGCAGTGGCTTAGACAAAAGCTTGATCATCCAGATAAAGATACACACAACAGGTTCATAGCTATAATTTGGAGTATATGGAAGAGAAGAAACAATGCGGTGTGGAAAGACCAAGAACAGGAGGCGGCTAGTGTTATTCGGGTGGCAGCGAGTATGTTAGCAGTGTGGCGGGATGTCCCTGACACATCAGGGGTTTCGGCAGACAGGAGGACAAGCAGGGACGAAGAAGCTACGTGGCGGCGTCCTAAACCGAGCTATTTAAAAATAAATGTTGATGGAGCGGTTAATCAAAGTGGGGGAGTTCGTGCATGGGGTTGGGTGGCGTGAGATGAAGATGGGAATTTTGTTAAGGCTCGTGGGGTTTCTAGCAAAGCTGAATGGTCAGCAGAGGAGATAGAGGCCATGGGAGTTAGAGATGCTATATTGAGAGCAGAGGAGGCGGGATGGCAGAAAGTAGAAACCGAAACGATGCTCTTACGGTGGTCCAGAATTTAAAGAAGAGTGAAGGATCGTCGTATATTCACTTGATTATTGATGATATTAGGAGGATATTGGAGACAAAGAGTAATTTTGACATCTCTTTTTGTAGAAGATCCGCGAATCATGTTGTTCATGCTTTAGCGCGAACACAAGTCACTATCTCAGATCAGTGTGTTGATTATGATTTTATTCGTGATTGTATTTTCAGCCGAATGGCTAACGATTTATTGATTTAATATATTTTTCGGTTTTACGACAAAAAAAAATATTACATTTACACATTAGTCACATGTATTTATAATATTCATCATATATATGATTTACAATGTAATATGTCAACAGACACAACGATCTAAAGTCTATAATCATTTACAACATCAATTTCAACGAGCATATAACATTTGTTTCAGTAAATGAAAAACAATGAGACTTTTTTTAAAATGAAAAACAATGATGTCATACAACAGTATACGAACTATGTGATGCAAAAATTATTCTTATGTATTCTTTCATAATCGAAACAAGAAGGAAAATTGAACATTAAAGTCATGGTTAGGTTTGATGCAGCTGCCATCACAACTTAAAATGATTATAGTCTCTCTAATTTGTTGGGAGTTTTTGAATCTCCAGTTGTACATGACTCAATCTCTGCAGCTCACCATATTGGAGGAGATGGGAGCAGAAGAGTGAGAGGGAAAAGGGGAGGTTAGTTTGGCAAAGTGAGGGAGAAAAAATGAAAGGAATTGAATTTGAACTCCTTTTTAGAAATTGAAACATGGTCCTGTTTTGCATCGGGGTTATACTACGTAGTACGATAGTATATGGGATTTGACTGAGAGTAACAATTGTTCAACTATAAGTTTTTCTTTAGGGGCGCATAAACAAATTCTCAGTTGGGGTTTTAAACAAAGTAGTTTAAAATTTATCGACCTAAAATTAAACGATCGTGTATCTCGCGGAAGCAACACAAACAAAGTACTGATGATGACGAATTAAGATAGAGAGGTGAACGGTTTAGAAAGAGAGTCAAACTCACTCTTATAGGTCCTATAAACAAATTCTCAGTTGGTGTTTTAAAATTTACTATTTGTCGACCTAAAATTAAACGGTCGCGTATTTTACGCAAGTAACTGCAACATGAGTAATGATTATGGCAAATTAATATAAAGAGTTGAACAGTTCTAAAATTAAATTGAAGCGTGTATTATGCGCATTTTATAGTTTAATGTTTTGTCGGTCTAAAATTAAACTGACGCGTGTCTCCCGGAAACCGCAGAAGTAATGATTATGACAACTTAATTAAGATAGAGGGGTGCACTGTTGAGAAAGAGAGTCAAATTCATACGGGTCTATAAACTATTTCATAGTTTGCATTTTATAATTTAATGGTTCTCGGTCTAAGATTAAACGGTCGCGTATCTCGCGGAAACAACATATGTAATGATTTTGACGAATTACGATAGATAGGTGAACAATTGAGAAAGAGAGTCCAACTTATATTCAATGACCCTCGGTACTTGGCTCCTGAGTTGGCATGAGTAGTCTATTTTGTGTGGTACAACACAGAAGAGTTGAGTTCAAAGGGCTACTCAGGCCATACAAATGAAGATTTATTGAGCACGCTAACATGTTCACTAATGAGCACGCTAGTGTGATGAATGATTGAGATTTTCTAAGTATTTTAGATGATTGAATCTTAGTCATTTATCACGGCAGCGTGCTCCTTAGTCAGCACGCCAACGTGCTCCCTAGTGTTCGTCCGTCAGTCTTCGGACTTTGAACCTAAACATTAAGAGCCCGTTTGGTAATAGCCAAATCGACTGTATTGGTTGATTCTGCTGAAATTTATGAAGTTCTGGCTGATGTGGCTGTATTGACTTATTCTGCTGATTTGTGGAAAAAAATAATTTAAAATACATTTTATTAATAAAATAAAGAAAAAATTATATGAAAAAATAGTTAAAATGACCTTCTTCAGTAACTTCAGCCAATACAGCCAGAAAAGTAACTTCAACCTTACTTTTTCTTATTATTACACAATTCATCCCGTAAAATCAAAAGTTACCTTTTGGTGATATACACCCTCATATATGTTGATATGTGATTATTATTTTATATCATTATAAACGGAAAGACCATCATTTGATCATTATATACATTAATAAGTGAAATTGTCTCAAATAGGACTAAAAACATTCGTTTAGTAAAAAATAAGATTGAAATTTTTTTCTATTCTAAATAGAATTAATTACTGCGATGTTTTGGCAGTATCAGATATTAAACATGGTACTATTTCCAAATTTGACAGTAACTACTCCTATTTAAGAAATAAATACATGACGATTCTATTTTGAAATTCTCACACTTTTACTCATATTTCAGGAATTTTCCCTATTAACAAATTGATATACCAAAAACTAATCAATCTTTGAATAATTCATGATTAAATTAAACTCGATAAACATTAACTTGTAACATCAAGTCAAATATCTTCTGACACTCTCAAAGAATTTGAATATCTTGAATGAAAGATGTTAGTCTTTAACATACTCCCTTCATTCCATCAGACTTTGCTAACTTTCCTTTTTTTGTTTCAAAAAACTTTGTCACTTTCTTATTAAAGTAACTAATTTGTGGTTCTGCACAACTCTCTCTCCTCTGCACAAATCTCAACTACACAATTTTTACTATTCTTATTTCTCACCTACTTTGCACTCGACAAAGTCCAGCGGTACGGAGGTAATAAAACATACGGAGTAACAAATTGGAAAACACAATAAAAAAAGCTTATAATATCAAAATGATAAGTCGTTGTACGATGAACATAATACTCCCTCCGTCCCGAAATAATTGTCCTGCTTTCCTTTTCGGTCCATTCCGAAATAATTGTCTCCTTCTCTTATTTGGTAAACAAATTTATACAAAATAGTGTCAAGCAGTGCAAAACAGTGTCAAACAGTGTCGCTACAGTGCCAAACATTGTCTCTACAGTGCCAAACAGTGTCACTACAGTGTGAAGTCAACTTTGTTTTCTTAATCTGTGTGAATGTCAAAACAGGACGATTATTTCGGGACGGAGGGGTAGTTCATTTAGTAATGTACCAAAAAAATTAATACTACATGAAACTAGTTTTTTTCAAATATTAGACTATTAGAGATGGATTGGAATTAAGAAATTTATTACAATAGTCAAGAGCTTGTTGTGTTAAGGTTCTAGAATGGAGTGGGGAGGGAAATAGGTAGTACTCCGTATGTTTTTAAAGGGAAAACTGTCAAATAGGTCCTCGAACTTTCATAAAAAAGTCAATTAAGTCCTTCTATAAGAGACTTTGTCCGGTCGTTACGATTTGGGGCAGTTCCCGGTGGAATTTTTTGATGAAATTTTTTTAGCATCTTATTCATCAAGTCTAGTTTACTCATACCAAATTTTAGCTAAAAATTTAAACGGGAGCGCAGTCAAATTAATTCGAGAATGCAAAAATGCGCAGTTATATTCAAGAATTAATTTGAATGTGTTCCCGATTGAATTTTTAGCTGAAATTTGGTATGAGTAAACTAGACTTGGTGAATAAGATGGTCAAAAACAATTATCAAAAAATTCCACCTGAAACTGCCCCAAATCGCGACGGCCGGACAAAACCTCCTATAGAAGGACTTAATTGACCTTTTTATGAAAGTTGGAGGACCTATTTGACAATTTTCCCGTTTTTAAATTAATTAATTCTACATTAATTAAACCAACAGCTGAAATAAATGATCTTACAAAATTTCTAATCACTTGTGTTCCAACAATAACAAATAAATTATAGAATTAAACGGATCGAATGACCCATACAAATCCCTAATGGGGAGAAATGCATAAACTTAAACTACAAACACAACACGATGGGTAAAGAGAGACCAAAGTAATACTCCCTTATTCCTCCAATTAAGTTCCCGGTTTGACTTCACACGTAATAAGAAAATAAATTTAATTTTACTGTGGAGCGCACTGTTTTGCACTGTTCAAACAGTGTTTGACACTGTTTTGCACTGTTTTGATGTAGATAATTTGCCAAATAAGGAAAGTAAGGAAGTGTGAACTTAATTTAGAGACTGCTCAAAATGGAAAGTGGTTACCTAATTGGGGGACAGAAGGAGTAATAACAATTAATGAAAATATTGACACAAAAGTAAATACAACGAAACAAGATTACAGGTGCTTAATAATATACTAATCCCCTAGGGCTAGCCTTTGCTGCAATTACCAAAAACTCCATTGCAGCGGCCCCCATTTACACAGAAATTAAACTGCCTTAATTTTAAAGATTTAACTAAATTACACCATAACTAAAGTCAACATTTTTCCTTTTTTTTCTTTCTTTTTTGCATTTTTTGTAAATTAAAATGACTTTAAAGTTTAAACTAAAGAGATGCCCAGTCAATCTCATGCGAGGGGTACTTCTGTAAATCCGAAGACATGTCCCAAGAAGATTCCTCTCCCGTGAACTCCGGAAATGTAAGATCCGAAACAGGGGATGACCCGCCTGACCCGTAACTGTCATAACCACCGTCGCCGACTGCCTGTTTCTCCGCCGCCGCCTCTTCCTTCACCGTGAGCTGCGGCTGTTTCTTGGATGAAGATCTCTTCGACTTTTTGGAGTCAATGCCCTTCCCCTCGGCCATATTCTTGCAAATGGCTTGCAGCTTGGCGTCCACGGAAGAATGGAGCGGCTTGTAATCTCCCAGGTCGCCGCCGTTTTTACGGAGGTTAGGGAAGTTGAGCCGCGCCGAGTCGCCTCTGAGCTGGTAAGCCGCCTCGTCGTAGGCCATGGCGGCTTCCTCCGCCGTCTCGAAGGTTCCTAGCCAGAGCCGGGCACGGTTCTTGGGCAGCCGGATCTCGGCGACCCATTTCCCCCAGTGGCGCTGCCGCACCCCCCTGTACAGCTTGGTGGGCTGCTGCTTCATTGGCACGGGCTTGGGGCCCAAAAGGCTGAGGTTGTGGGCCTCATGATTGGACCATTGAGTTTGAAACGGGCCAGAATGAGTCATCATTTGCTGCGCATGGTTCTGTTGACTGATCTGAGCTTGGATCTGCTGAATCTGAGCTGTCGTCAACTGGTTCAGCCCAATACTGCCCGGCTGCTCGAACCCCAAACCGGAAATTTCCCCTGAGAACATTTCGGCGCCGGAGGTGGAGCAGCCGTCGGTCTGAGGGTACAAGTCCACGCAAGAAACGTACGGGTGGTAGGAAATGGAGGGAGAGGAGAAAGAGAAGGACGAGGGAGGGTAAAATTGGGAGCTTTGAGACAGAAAAAGAGAAGAAGATGGGGGAGGAGGAGGCACCAGCGGCGCCTGCGACGGAAGGGGAGGAACAGGGGAAGAAGCAGTCTTGATCATAAAAGGCCCAAGCGCTTCCATGAGCTCGCCGCCGCCTCCGTACAGATGATCATCAACAGCGGAATTACTACGCCACATTGAAGCTGCCATGAGTAAAAAAAGACCCAAACTCTAAAATTATAAAGATTTAAAAAACAAAGAAATTAAAGTCCACCTGTTTCTTAACAAAAATCAAAGAACAGGGCGGGAAAGATCAAGATCAGGGATAAATAAAAGATATACACAAATTAAAACAGGGATGAAATTAGACAATTTCGAACAAAGAACCGGTTTGAGGGACGACTAATAAGCCCTCGACGATGTCTCTGACAGAGAAATTAAACAAAGGAAAGCAAAGAAAATCTTAAAGATTTGCTGCCAAAGAAAAGAAAAAGACCCTGTTTTTAAAATTGAAAACGCAAAAAAGGATTTCCCGAACCAGAAAACTCTTAGATCGATCGATTTGCAGAAAGGGGATGAACAGAGGGGGGAGTGAGGTGTGTGCAAGTGTGAGGAAGAAGAAGGGAATGGTGTGTTTATCTCTCTCTCAGCCTCACCTTATGTGGGGGGCGTGATAATGCGCAAGCCCCTTTATATAGCCGCTGCACCCCTCTCCTGCCCCTGGTTTTCCGCACCCCTCCACGTCACCCTCACTCCTTTCTCGTGTTTGGTTTCTCTATTTATGTTAATTAATTCTCGTATGAATTAATATGGACTAATTAAGTATGTATTGTTATTATTACATTCTTACAGGCAGGAGACACATTATATTATAGGTTGCATACCTCCCTTAACCCTATTACCCCCCAAAGTCCGCCCTAATCTCTCTTCTTTCTCGTGTTCCCTTTCTAGTAATCCCACACTCATATCTGCCTTTATTTTATTATTATTTAAATTTAATTTTTGTTATCATCATATTGCGTGTTCATTCATCTCATTTTTTTCGTATTGCAACCTTGTTTGATAATGGATGTTGTGTATAATATCTGTTTGAATTGGTTAGGAGGATGTAATATCACTTGAAGTAATAAATTGAAATTTGGGACTTCAATTTGTTCCATAAATTAAGAGAGAGATATTATGGAAAATGTCAAACAAGGGCATCAGGGAAAGAATAAAACCTATGTAGGAAATTAGAAAGAAACATTGTAATATAGGGAATACTAAGAGCATATGCTAAAACGTTAAGGGTGTATATGTAGCATGAGAAATAATAATCAATTAAAAAACAATAAATAGAATATCTCTCCTTATTTGAAGGATATTATATCATTTTGGTAGGTTTTTCTTCAAAATGTCAAACACAATGTCTAGATGTAGACAGCGTGGTTGACAATGCAGAGAAAAACTTACCAAAAACACATAAAACCGTGAAAAGGAGAGAGAAATGTTATAAAATCAATATTTTGTGTCTATCTCTCTCATATCACATGTGCACTGCGCACATTATTGCAATGGAGATGCTCTAATTGAGATGATTGATGGAAGTTTATCATCATTAATTGGAAAAAGTTAAAGATGTCTAATTAAAAGGAGACTAAGTAGTATTTGATAATTTTGTCAAGTTCAAATTCGTTTTTCCTATAAGATTATTAGAATGTACATACACACCCTCGGATGACTGTGTGGTAAACTGATAATTATAGTCATTGAGAAAATAGTATCATAATAATCTCGCAAATTATACTGTGAGATCGGCTAGCCATACGCATGGTCTGACGATCTCACTATTGCTATTGAATGACACTTTCTTTTTCTGGAGTATCAATCTTTTTTTACCTCTGCTTCTTCTTTTTTGTTTTTTTTATTCAATTCTTTTCTTCTTCTTCATCAAATACTAAAATTTAATTGTAATTTTTCTTTTCTTTATTTGATAAATTTGTTAAGTTCAAATTTGTCTTTCCTATAAGATTAATAGATTGTACGTACGTACACGTGACACTAGGATGATTATGTGGTAAACTGAGGGTAATTATAGTCATTGAGAAAATACCATATGATTATAATAAAGTCCAATATTTGGATAATTGTTTTTGTGAGTTCTTCATTCTAAATATATATTACTACGTAAATACTATACTACGTATTAAATATTATACTCCATACTAAATAGAACTATAAGATAACAAATTTTGTCAAATAAGAATAGGCACTAGTTATCATTATACTCCCTATTGTTTATTTTTTAAATAACACTCATTCAATTTGCTCCCATATAATGACATTTTAACTACTTTTTTTTGTATGTTTTAGTTCTGCTAAATTTCTTTTAAAAGCTACCACTCCCTTCTAAAATAATCTTTTGACTTGGCACGGTTACAAAAGAATATGATTGAAAATCATAGTTTGGAGGTTAGACGTGAATTTCAACCCATTACTTTTCCTAAAGAGAAAACATAAAAATCGTTTTCAACCCAAAAAGAGAAACGAGAAAAATTGCGAGTAAATGATTAATTAGAGCATGTCTACTACTTTAGTAGCGTGTTGGGGGGCAAAACACTATTTTTCTTATACTACCAATACCGCTAATTACAGCATATGGGTCTCTAGATGCGAAAAATTAAATCAAACAACCTATTTAGTTTTGTTGATGACTAAACCTCTCACATGAACAATGTAAGGAACTATCATATGGTCCAAACAAACGTTTATGATTATCTAACCATGCGGGTGAACCATAGGATAGAACTCTCATCCATCCAAAGGATAGACACTATGTTTAGTTCTATGAATATAATTAGCATAAATGATGAATGCGTACATGATAAATCTATGCTCTAATATTCTTGATACTACGTGGCTTAATTGAAATCTTTTTCCATGTGTGTTTAATCACTCACGTAAATGAGCTGACTGATATGGCTTGATTGCTTATGGAAAGAATCATTACTTTTACTATACAAGAATCCCGCGGGTTGTAACTTAATTGAATATGCTAAGAAAATGTTTCCTTAAACACACATTTGCGAAGATCTTTGCTAGTTAAATATTAAATGAAAATCCTTCTTAAGGAAAGGGTCTGTTGCATGTTTCAATATGTTAAGAATGTTTGCTATTGCATGATTGAATGATTGACCGTGCATAGTGATGGTTAATAAGTAAAATCTTTTTAATATATGCTATATTAAACAAGGTTAGTTGTCACCTATACATGATACTCTTCCTTACTTATGCGAATATTTAAGGGCATATCTTTGCAAAAATAATCTAAGCCATGGAAGGAAAGCAATTCAAAATATCAAGGCAAAACCCAGAATTAGAAGGACAACTATTCAAGGAAGGATGCTCAACGGCCTACCTCAAGACAACTATATATATATAGGTCGGAAGATCAAGAGAGGTGGCGTGCTTGACCGAGCAATTACAGAGAGAAACACTTTCAAAGATATATCAAGTCCAAGACACCTGAACCTGCTTACGAAGTTCTAGATATAGTTTCATCTCCCTTCTTTATCTTGTAATTGAATTTTGAGGAAAAGCTAAAGTGTAGCTTCCTCGGGTTGGGGTCGTGTGTGTGAGAGCTTTGTTGTAAAGCTGAGAGGCACTCTACCCGCAAGGTAAAGATGCATAACTCTTCCTAGAGAGGTTAGAGTTGAGGTGGCTCAAGGGTAGATTAGGAGAATTTATCTTGTAACCACAAAAGGCTGTTTAGTGAAGTTGTTTAAAATTTCTCCGAGGGAGGTCGAGGTTTTTTAATCCCTTTAAGTCAAGGGATTTTTCCTCGTTAAATCCTTGTGCACTTTACTATTTCGCAATTCCCTGAACCCCACATTAGAACTGTGCGAAAAACTGGCACAGTTCCACACACACAATTCACCCCCCCCCCCCCCCCCCCTCTTGTGTTGCTAACCGTTTCATCACAACCCCTATAGTTAAATTTTTATCGGGTATTAGCCTTTAATAGGATTAAAATTAGTGCAATATTCAATAACAAGTACAAACGCTTTATTCCCAAAGCAGGATTAATATATGTCCATTCTTTCCTTTGTACCCCTTCCTATAATTTTCAATAGATTTATTTTATTAATAAGAAAGTCATAGTTTTATTTATAATAAAAATATAAAAAGTAATAAAATACTTATAAATTAATAATACAAACGTGAGAAAAAAAATAAAAAAAAAATTAAAAAAATTAAACGTTTAAAAAACTTTAAAAAGTCTAAAAAAATAAAATAAAATACCTAAAAAAATTAAAAATATATGTAGGTCACTGCCAACGCGTCCTCTACCTCCCTGCACCACCAGCTCCGATCACCAGAAAAAATGTCATCTTGTATAAAAATGTTACATTTCTCTGAAAATGCCATGAAGATGACATTTTTACTCTTTGAAAATATTCAGCTTTCTCTTCAAAATTGCCATCATTATGACATCCCCCCCCCCCCCCCCCCCCAACTTGGTAATCTTTTCCGGCGACCGGAGTTGGCGGTGTTGGAAGGTAGTTGAGGTGGTGATTGAGGTCTGTATATTGTTGTTTATTTTTTAAGATTTTTTATTTTTTTTATGTTAATTTTTTTATATTTTATAATGATTGTTTAAAAAATACTATTATGAAGGACAAAGGAAAGGGTAGAATAGGAAGAGTTGGTCCTATTTTGGAATTTAAACTTTAAACTCCTATTGTTGCAATTATCCTTTTATTTAGTCCTATTTAGGCAAATCTCCCATTTTTTATTTAAGATTTATTTATATAGGTCTTATATGCATGTTTCTCATTTAATTCAATTTTAATCTATTAGTAACTGTTTTTTTCTATTACACCCCGGTTAGGTTTTATGTACGTATGAAACTTTTCATATCAATTAACCCAAAGGGAAATTCCATTGTTACTCACTTACTCATTCGATTTTACTTTTTAAGTTGAGTGATTAAATCACTAAATCATCATTGTCTATGAAATAATGTCACAAAAAATCGTGTTTGTGTGAAAATATATTTGAAAGCTTGCAAAGTATACATATAGGTAATTATTTTCTTTGAACAAACTTGGATTTGCTCCTAGGAATAATTAGTTTTGTGTGAAAATCTATCCGAAAAACCATCAAATGGTCACATAGTCAAATATTATACTACCTCTCGAAAAGATTTATCATATTGACTTTTCTTGATCAATTACAATCAACTTTGACTAATTATATTTTATAATATGAAATTATTTCGAATATTAAAATTATATTAAAATGTTCCTTATTCAAAATATTTTCATAAATATATACAATTTATAAAATATATACAAATATATAAATATAATAATTATAGTCATCCTCCACACATCGAATCACCATATTTGTGCTATGCATGAAACCCAATGCCTGTAAAATCAATCAATTTTTAAGTACGCAATAAAACCTAAGCTAATAAGTACACCAAACACTGTTCAAAACAAAAAACATGTTTCTTTCTTATTTATCCTTTTCCACTCTATAATGTCTCTATTTATTTATATACTGTTATATTAATTAAATTAAAATAATCATTTTGATCGATGCTTCTTCTTCTATATATGCAACCTAGAACGAGTCTAAAAAAGCATCCTTTAATTTCCCACTCAAAATGTTTATGTTCTGA